ATAGCGTGTGACTACGGCTAGATAAATAGAACAGATGTTTTCCATTACATTTGACATAATAAAATTTGGTGCAGTAAAATCAAATCAATAAAGACAAAGATATACAAAATGTAATGGAAGCTTTGTCAAGTGTGACAATAGCATAGATAAGAATTATTACAAGGCAAGATTGTTTTTGTAAGTTGATAAAGTAAAAGGACAATATACATTGTAAACTGTAAATTTGATGGACGAACGTTAATGGTCTGAGGCTAGTTTTCATAGTTAGTGCTAAGGACCTTAGTCCATGGCAAGGGAAGTCATATGTTACAGCATATTTTACTTTAAAAGGTCTGGTTCCAATCTTGTGTCACTAAGTCTCACTGGCCAGTTGCTACTTGCTGCACAGGGTGAAGTGCGCATGCACAGGTTGTGTTTCTGTGTTTTACCAACAAGCTTTTATTGATAGTTTAGCTTGCATATTTTTTTTTTCTACATTACAGATATTACAAATACTATGAACATTCGTTGATTCCTTGATATGATGACATTTGATTGGTCCAGGAGAAGGAGTTTCTGAGTGGTTTACTCTGTAAAGTGTTGGGAAAGGCAACACAATTATTTGAAATAGATGAAATTGGATCAGCATTTGTACACTAAGCCTTTCATTTACCTCTTAACTGACAGGCCTAACAACATAGTGATAGAGAAAGAGGATCTAGAGAGGACATAGTGTGATTAGTTAGGATGAGGGCATGCTTTTTAGAAAAAAAGTGAGAATTCCAGGAACTACAGGGAGACTGAAGAGATTGAAGTAATGCTAGAACAACTGAGAGATTGTGAAAAATTGTGAGAACGAAGGGTCAAGTAGGAGAGACTAAGAAAGACACAATTTCTTCTCATTTAAAGTGTTTTAAAATGTCACTCTTGGCACCTTGGCAACTTAAAGTAACTCTTTCTTGAAATGAGCACACCAAGCACCATAACTACTACAGCGCACTGCTCATATTGCCAGGTGTGTACTGGCACCACGCCATTGTAATTCATTAGACCATTTTAGAATGGTTTGACTTCATATCTGGAGTCTGCCAGGAGCCATTCCTCGCCTCCTCTACTAATACCAGAGAGCCAAAAGCCTTGTCTGAGCCAAACCCGGCATAGCTCAGTGACAGAGAGATTAGCTGACCCTCTCAGCCAGTGAGCTAGCCTTGTATTAAAATGGTTTGATTATCTATTCATTTTAAAGTTAGGTGTGTTACTTTCCCCTTTTCAATTAATGGACACCCTCTTTTAAAACAATAACTGTAAATGAAACCTTTAAACTCCCCTTTAACCTATTGCAGGAAGAGTCTCGTCACTGCAGCCTATTCACCTCTGGTTAGATCATCAGTTCTGACGATTGTCACCTACATGATTTCAGTCCAGACCAGAACACTGAGGACCTACGGGGCATACACAGCAGTTGCTACACTCCACCACTTGATTGCTCCTATTCATGCTGTGCAGGGCTTCGGACAAATGTAAACATTGCCATTTCTCTAAAACTCCACTTGTTTTACAACGTTGGATGAGAAGGACATGAACTACAGACTGTGCCTAAGAAAAATGAAAAGATATACTGCTGAATTGTGACGGGTCTATTGTATCAACTGCTTTGATATAGTCTGCAAGCTCGTTTGAGCATGGTCCTCTCCACCCTATCGTTCCTGTAAATTTTCTTGTAATTGTCCTATTTATAGTTACATCCCCTCTCATAATATTGTAAAACGCTACGGAATCAGTTGGCGCCATATAAATGGCAATAATAATAATAATAATATTTGTAGGCACTAAATGAATAATAAAACCATATCAGTATTGAACACAATGCATTATATTAGTATAAAGCTTATGCAAGTAAGTGAGATTCCTCATTTTTTTTATTTGAAGCTGTTTGTTGTTACGAAAAATGTACATGAATTAAGTAAATCAAAAAGTCCTAAAGCACAACATCAATTTTCAGATCCTGCTTGCTGAAACACTAATCCAGGCTTAGAAAACAGAACGCTTAAGGTTTTGCACTGCAACCAAAGCAGCGTTGCGCCCCGCTGCTCCCATCACACCGCCTCCTGTAAGCAAGAGAAAAACAATCTTGTTTAATTATGAGTCACAGAGTCCGTTTATTTACTGTAATTTCAAAATAATAATTGAAGGCTGAGTCATCGGTGGATTTATCTGTCACACATAGAAGAAAATGCACAGACTACACTGCAAATTCTTCTAACACGACTGAAATGTCTAAATGATCTACAGTGCGCACGTGCATGTGACATCATAAGTGTGATGTCATTCACGAATATATCCAATGCTTCTCCTATTAATTTTGTACTTAAAGGAACCCTATAGTCACCTAAATTACTTTATCTAAATAAAGCAGTTTTAGTGTATAGATCATTCCCCTGCAATTTCACTGCTCAATTCACTGTCATTTAGGAGTTAAATCACTTTGTTTCTGCAGAGGCATGTTCTATACACCAAAACTGCTTCATTTAGCTAAAGTTGTTCAGGTGACTAGAGTGTCACCTGAACAACTTAAACGAGCTGCAACAATGGAAATAATGTGTACAGAGCAAACATCCATGGTACATGTTTATTTTTTGTGTGTATTTATAATATAGCACTATATAACAAGAGAGTGCCCGCATAATAGATGCCCATAATTAAAAGCAGTTGTATCTGACATGAACAAGGCAATTTTTTTTTTATTTTCACCCTGTCTTCTGGTGTGTTATATAGATATAATTAGTATGCAGTTTACTCTTCACTAGCTTTATAGCCTTGTCGAGTACACTGTATAGGGGGAGCTATAACACATACTTGAAATTGGTATGTAGAAGCAGGTACCATTATAATATAGGCAATTTTTTGTCACATTTCTTTATTATTACTTTATTGCTCATTGGTATATCCTCTATAAAGATGTAGATGAGTAGTTCTTCATTCTGTAGTATTTTAAGAGGATTTGTTTAACGCAGGTACTGTGTCTTTAAGGTGGACACAGCGCCTGTCATTGCCATGGTTACTAATAACATGGCCCATATTTAATATGTAATTATGTGAATTAAGGAGGACAAATACCGATATTATGTGCTGTGTATAGACTATTACAGTGTAATCTGCGATTTGGTGTGTAAAAAAATGTAAAAAGATGTATTGTTTATGAAACTCATTGGGGTATGGAATTGTAACATGTATGTGGTGTACATTTACACTCATTTTGTGTGTATGTACACACGATAAGTTTTTGTTATAATATAGATATTATTAGACAGATCCTTTGTAATAGACCCTTTGTAGGTGGGCACATTTGGATATCTTCACTGGTTTCACAGTAAATTGTCTTTCACTAATATTGCACATCTATTTTGCACATCCAGAGTGGCTCACTTCTGCATGGGCGACTATCATAGGACTGGTAGGTGGCTCACATAAGTATCCTCCTTAGAATATGTTTCTTTTCATTTATGGATCCCCGCACAGGGTGATCATTATATATCACCACGTTTGTTCTGTCTGTTTTTGAGCACAGCCGGCCACACACACATTTAGTTTGATACGTTGCTTAGCAACGCCGTCTATCCGACATCACGTTGCTTACGTGATTCCTCTGATGCACGTCCGGGTTTCGGACGGCTGGCGGCTTTCTCTCTCACACACCTGTTGGTAAGTTATCAGTATTATTATTGTGTATATATACTCACTTTGTATACTGCACTATTGATCTTGAAGAAGACCCTGTAAGGGTTGAAACGTCGATCATCTAAACCTGCACATGTAACCTGCACTAACAAATAAATCAGAATTTTGATGAAGACCTGTGAGTGCTCCTTGTACATATTTTTTGTTATATATATATATATATATATATATATAAATATATATATATATATATATATATATATATATATATATATATATATATATATATATATATATATATATATATATATATATATATATATATATAGCACAAATAATGGCACTCACCCTTCCTGATGTAATGAATAGTAAAGTGCCCTGGTGCAATCTTATGCTGATAAATAATTATATTGAAGAAAAATGCACTATCTGGTCTTTTTAAGAATATTAACGGTCTTTAATATATATTGTATGTATTTGTTATTACAGGACTGTGCTGTATAATTACATAGTTACATAGCTGAAAAGAGACTTGCATCCATCAAGTTCAGCCTTCCTCACATATGTTTTTGCTGTTGATCCAAAAGAAGGCAAAAAACCCAGTCTGAAGCGCTTCCAATTTTGCAACTTTAATGTTTAGAGGTGGAGGAATAAAGACCTGAGACTATTTTTCATAGTTAGTGTTAAGACCTTTGGTTCCAGAGAATGGAAACTCTACAGTATACAATAATATGTTAGATGATTATATACTTCCAGATTTGGGTTTCATTCACTAAATTTAACTATTTTTCCATAAAATCCACAATTCCCTTGCCAAAACTCCCCAATTCACAGTTTAGTGAATAAAAGGATATGATCTGCGTATCTGACAACGATACAATACTAATCTGATAAAACGATAATAATGTCTTTAGAATTTAAAGGAATGTCCAATGCGAGCCCACCTTGCTCCTATCATCTAGAAACTGTTCGCAAACAATAAAATATGGAGTACAAACCTTCAAAAAAATCTTTGACATTAAGCAATAGAACATTAAACAGTAAGCAATATTACAGCCATGTATAGCACACAGCTAATTATTTGTCACTTTGCAAAACCAGCCAAAGAATATGTTGTTTAAAGGCCATTCAGGTTTATAAGCCAAATATACGTGAGGCTGACAAACCGTGGTAACCACAACAAAGTTAAACCATAGGAATGCATTGTGTAAGAGAGGATATGACTAATTAATGTGTAATGTCCTAAAGTGCCTCTTGCTACACTCAGTGGCATTGACAGGTTGTCTGATGAATTCATTAGATCGCTTGGAAACCCTATAGCATGGCTCCTTACTTATGATAACAAGTGAATTAGAACAGCAGAACTTAAACAGGGCCTAAAATAAGGCAGTTTTAGATTTAAGATAATTAGCTGAGTATAATTGAGTTAATCTAAGAATTAGCAATGGAAGCCGAAAGATTAAAAAAACTGACATGTTGATCCACCTGTTTACACTCCCACCATTCGCACACACTGAAAAAAATAAAGAGCTGGTTTTTCACTAAACGCAAAATTTGTAGACACATTCATATTCAACAAATGTTAATTCTAGGAGATTTCTGCTGTGTTGCTATTACACAACAAAACAAAAATCAGCCCACAATAGGTTGTAATGACAAAGGAGTCAATGAGCAAACCCACAAACCCTGTATTCTAGTGGCCTGTGGAAATTGCCCCCGTTACCAGCTCTCCCGTTGTCCACAGGACCTCCATTACCAGGACGCTCTTCCTTTGCACGTGTGGTGAACAAAAGTCAAACATGGGACCTCTTTATCTATTTCCCTGCGCTATTGCATTGTGGCTAACAGACAAAAGTACACATCCCATGGACTTCATGCATCTAGGGAGAGCTTTCACAATAGGCCGCCCCTATACACAGCAAAAACCTCTACAGTGGGCTCCATTTCCACCATTGAATAGTGAATTATTAACTACACACCTGATGGTAAACATACAAAATTTATATCAAATATTTTTGTATATATTAATATTTTAAACTTTTTTTTATATTTTTTGTATATTTTGCCTTATTTGTTTTTTTTTTGTTTTTTTTTAAACACTTTATTTTTTCCGTGCTGGGAGAACATAGATACCCATAATGCCAGAACAGCAGAAGTAGTGATAACAGTTAGTAACATATTTATGGCATAGGAAGTAAAAGCACATTTTTGAAAAAGAAATAATGAAATAATCTGAGAAACAATAGTACAAGTGTTTTAACAGTATCATTGCATATCTTACGTTGGTTGGTCACGACTATTTTGTCCTATTCTTATTTTTAACATTAAGTATTAGACACCAAGGAGTTAAATGACTAATGACTTAATGTTGATACAATTCCAGGAATGCTGCGCACACGCACACACGTCTTAAAGGACCACTATAGTGCCAGGAAAACATACTAGGTCCCACTCCCGTGGCGCTGAAGGGGGAGGAAGGGGTTAATCCCTTACCTTTTTTCCAGCGCCGGACTCCCTCGCCTCTTGGACTCTCCTCCCTCTTCTTCCGTCACCGGCTGAATGCACAGGACCTGCGCGCGCATTCAGCCAGTTCATAGGAAAGCATTCTCAATGCTTTCCTATGGACGCTGTCGTCTTCTCACTGTGAAAATCACAGTGAGAAGCACGGAAGCGCCTCAAGCGGCTGTCAATGAGACAGCCACTAGAGGCTGGATTAACCCATAGGTAAACATAGCAGTATCTCTGAAACTGCTATGTTTACAGCAAAATGGGTTAAACCTAGCTGGACCTGGCACCCAGACCACTTCATTAAGCTGAAGTGGTCTGGGTTCCTATAGTGGTCTTTTAAGTGTTTGAAAATGTTTCAAATCTAAAAAAGTGTTTTTAAAAAAAGTGATAAAAATGCTCAGAAAAATGTAAAACATATACTGGAAGAATGTTTCTGTAAATCGCTAATTATAATTAATATAAACTAAAGCCATTAAGTCATTTTGAAATAGCTCCAGTTCAGAGCTCATTTGTAACAATTTGTAGGTGCTCTAAAATATTGTCCGTGTACACCTGTGAACTGCTTTATTTTTTGAATGTGAAACAAAAAATTGAATTATTTCTCAGTAAACAACCCCAATAATGCATGATTTACATGGATTCAGATGTGGTTCTAAATATACATAGATTTACTTGGGTTATTGTTTAAACAGATACATTGTATCCACCTTTAGAAACAATTACTGTGTTTACAGAATCACTGCCAGGTTGTTGGGTCCTCTGTCCACCAGGTGATCACCAAGGATACCAGGCAGGGCAGAGGGTGTATTACTAAATGACAATCTACAATTAATACGAAACACAGTGCTAGCAGACACCATTATCTACTTGAGCCTGAACTCCTACAGGATGAAAAACAAAAGTGCAGCAACATCCCATTAACAAGAGGCCGAAACAAGGAAATTGAATAAAATATAGCGCTTCCATGACAGAGATAGACAGTCATTTGTTACGCACAGAGCTCCATAATACGGAGTTACCATACACGGTCAATAAGACCAGAAAGTCACATCTGGGTCACAGTGAGTCCACGGGGGGATTACAAGTGGTTCATAGTACATCTACAATGCGGGCAGTGTATGTGGTTCATAATACATCCATGTGATGTAAGCTTGTTTGAGCGAGTCTTCATCAACCCATTGTTCCTGTAACATTTTGTAAAGGTCTCATTTATTGTTAAATTTCCCCTTTAATAATATTGTAAAGCTCTGTGGAATAAGTTGACGCTATATAAATACCAATAATAATAATAATAATAATAATGATGATGATGGGGGCAGTACATGTGGGACATAGTGTGTCCATGATGGGGGGGGGCAGTAAACATGGGTCATAGTGTGTCCATGATGGGGGGCAGTAAACATGGGTCATAGTGTGTCCATGATGGGGGGCAGTACATGTGGGTCATAGTCAGGGCCGGACTGGCCCACCGGGATACCGGGAAATTTCCCGGTGGGCCGCGGCTCCTGGGGCCGGTCTGACAGCCCTAATCATTGGGCTGACAGCTCCTGTGATCCCAGCCGGCCATGTGTGAGCTGTGCGGCCGCACAGAGCCCCATGGGAGCAGGGGGAGCCAGGCGGCCGGCACAGCTCACACATGGCCGGCGGGATCATAAAAAATAAATGTAAAAAAATTTGCAGCGGGGGCGGGGCTTAGCGTGCCGGGGGCGGGGCTTAGCGTGCGGCGGGGGCGGGGCTTACTGTGCGGCGGCCTGGCTGACTGCAGCATGGGAAGCAGGAAGGAGTCCCTGCTTCCCCAACAACCAGCCTCCAGGAGCTCCAAGCAGGAGGTAAGAAGGAGGTCAGTGTGTGAGTGTGACTGTCTCTGTGTGACTGCCTGTGAGTGTGTGACTGTCTCTGTGTGACTGCCTGTGAGTGTGTGACTGTCTCTGTGTGAGTGTGTGACTGCCTGTGAGTGTGTGACTGTCTGTGTGAGTGTGTGACTGTCTGTGTGTGACTGTCTGACTGAGTGTGTGACTGTGAGTGTGTGACTGCCTGTGTGTGCGTGCGTGACTGTCTGCCTGTGTGTGAGTGTGTGGCTGTCTGCCTGTGTATGTGTGTGGCTGTCTGCCTGTCTTTGTATGTGTGGGTGTTTGCCTCGGTGTCAGTGACTGTCTGCCTGTGTGTGTGTGTGGCTGCCTGCCTGGGTGTCAGTGACTGTCTGCCTCTGTGTGTGTGTGCGCGCATCTGCTAGTGAGGGAGCCTCTCTGTGTGTGTGTGTGTGCCTGCTAGTGAGTTTGTGTATGTGTGTGCCTGCTAGTGAGTGAGCTTGTATGTGTGTCAGTGAGCTTGTCTGTAGGGATCATATGTGTGTGTGTGTGTGTTAGTGAGCTTGTCTGTGGTGAGCATGGGTGTGTCGGAGCCTGTCTGTGGTGAGCATGTGTGTACAGTGAGCTTGTCTGTAGTAAGCATGAGTGTGATCGTGAGCTTGTCTGTAGTGACCATATGTGTGTCAGTGAGCTTGTCTGTAGTGAGCATGTGTGTGTCAGTGAGCTTGTCTGTAGTGAGCATGTGTGTGTCAGTGAGCTTGTCTGTAGTGAATCTGTGTGTTAGTGAGCTCTTCTGTAGGGAGCGTGTGTGTCAATGGGCTTGTCTGTAGGGAGAGTGTGTGTGCATCAGTGAGCTTGTCTGTAGTGAGCGTGTGTGTGTGACAGTGAGCTTGTCTATAGTAAGCTTGTGTGTGTGTATAAGAGTTTGTCTGTACTAAATTTGTGTGTGCGCCAGTAACCTTGTCTGTGTGTGTCATTGTCTGTCAATGAGCCTATTTGTGTGCATCAGTAAGATTGTCTGTCTGTGAGTATGCTTTACTGTATAATTTAATTACCCTAAAATAACTAATATTTTGAATTAGAAGAAGAAATGTATCAATAAAAAAATAAATACAAATAAATATATATATATATATATATATATATATATATACTGTTGCATCACCAGGGCTCCAGTATCCAGTATATATATAGGCAATTGAAATAGTTGGCTGCACTCTCAGATTTCCTTAAAATTTTACTTTTATTGAAATAGTTAAGAGAAGATCAACGTTTCAGTCCCTCTTGTGGACTTGCATCAGGATCATGACGAAGGTTCACAAGAGGGACTGAAACATTGCTCTTCTCTTAACTATTTCAATAAAAGTTACATTTTCAGGAAATCCGAGAGTGCAGCCAACTATTTCAATTGCATGTATATATATATATATATATATATATATATATAACACCCTACATAGCACAATGACTTATGGGGCTGGCATAGATTTTTTTCCAGGGCTGCTTCGTATCCCCAGTCCGGCCCTGGTCATAGTGTGTCCATGATGGGGGTAGTACATGTGGGTCATAGT